GAGATGGCAGCAGTGAATTAAGAGTTTATGTGTCTTTCTTGCCATCTAGTGGCCAACGGTATGTTTGCAGCCCATATGTGGGGCTTTAAAAGAAGTTTAGCAAAGCTTGTTTGTTTTAATTCAGTTTTCTAAAGAAGAGCCATATTTTTGAAAATTTTCTTCCTAGGACAAGTAGTTTGCTTCCTAATAAATTCAGCAAATGGTTGCTTACAGGATTCTCTTCTGTTTTTGTCCTCTCTTTTCCCAGGAGAAAAATGGAGTCCAGAAAACAGAGGAATTGGCTCTGGGCTGAGGTTGCAAACAATCAATGAAGCCTCTGTTCCGTCTCTTGCTCACTGCCTCTATTCATAAGCCCTTCAATTCTGCAACTGCCAAGAAGCTTCTCAAAAATATGATTTAAATGATTGCAACAATTAAACATTAAAAGATGGCCCCAAAGTGGCAGAAGAATAAAAGCCCAATGTTGTCCAGCTCAGACTGGCAGGCAGGATTCCTCCAGGATCAGAGAGTGAAACCATCCATGTGGTCTTTACACAAAGGTTGTTCACCAAGGGCTTATTTTTCAATGCTTGCCAGTGTGGGGGAAGCAGGATTGGGACCCCAGCATGGGAGACGGGGCTTCATCATGTCCCCCCACTGATCCGGATAGAAATGGTTTCCCCCTGCAAAAAAACAAGCATATGAGAAATCCTGCCTCCCTCCCCAGATGGAAGTCAATAATGCAAAATCAATTTTTCGTTCCTGCATGTATCTTTGTTTTTTGAAAACTGTGACAGTGACTTCTTCGACAGTTTTCAAACTGAGTGTGTGTGTGTGTGTGTGTGTGTGTGAATAAAATTAAAAAATCCCCTCTCATCCCTCTGGGTGGTCTGTGTCTTCCTCAGTCTCGGGTCCTCTGCCAGAGGCCTGGGAGTTGGAGGGCTCTGCGCAGGATCTGGGCTGTTCCTAGCCCTGCGCTCTTCTGGACAGAGAGCTCTGAAGTTGCTCCTGGGATCTGGGGGAGCCCCTCTCCCAGCTTAGGGGTCACAGCCCTGAGTGCTCCCACCACCAGTGGGACCACTTTGGCCTTGAGTTTCCACATCCTCTCTAGTTCTTCCTTCAGGCCTTGGTACTTCTCCAGTTTGTCATACTCCTTCTGAGCGGTTGAATAACGTAGTGGTTAGAGCGCCGCCTTTGATGCAGGAGACCAGGGTTCAAATCCTGGCTGGTACCTACCTTACCAGTAGGGGTCCTTGGGCAAAGACCCCCTGCTGGCTCGGACATTGCCCGGATTAACAAGGTCTGTGTCAGATGTTGGGGAACCAGGACAATCTAATGATAAGTGGGCTACTGGAACAAACCGTATATGGACAAGACAAGAGAACCTGGAATTGAGGGGATGCTACTACAACAGTAGACCTAATGAGAGAGGATATACAAAACTTATGAAGGAACTATGGATGGACAGAAGACCTACATCCACACCAACGGAGAAACAACTAGTTGCCCAGCGCTTCAACACAGGGAAGAGGAAGCTCTCTCACAACTTGAGACTGACCAACCCCACATTACAACCTGGACTCGAGCAGACCTGGAAGAACACCTGAAGCTGGAATGTCACAGCCACCCCCTCCATTACAGACCACAGCAGCTGACATGAGGCAGAAGATCGTGGAGAAACTGGCCACGGTCAACCCTCGAGACCGATTACCAAGGCTCAGTGGAGAAGCACCATCGGACAATATGTTAGAAGATGCCAGGAGAGCCCTTGTGACAATCCCTACTTCCACCAATATATATCTGGGCAGCATTGAGGCCTTTGGGAAGGACGTTTTCCCCATCCCAGGCATGTTCTCTTTGGATAACCTGTTTGAGCAGAACCCTGTAAGCCGGTGATGAAATAAAATTAGAGGTAGCCTTTGACAGAGCAGTGCAGAAACCTGTGCGTGCACACAACACAGAGAGAAGAGCAAAAACAGAACTGGGTGTTTTTCGGCTCAGCCAGGATGGGACAATAAAACAGGGAATTCCTCTTCCCCTCCCTCCCTCCCTCCCTCCTTTCTTTCTTTCTTTCTTTCTT